CAGCTATAGTCTATAGAGGTTAGTATAATGAGGGTAAATCTCATAGGAAGAGGTAAAGTAAGAATTTATAGTAGTAGGGCTGTAGAGTGGGGAAAGTTGGTAGAGTGACTGGAGGGTGTAAAGATAATATTATATATTAACACAGGCTCAGTACAAGTGTAATATATAAAACGCCAATGCGTGTTACAGCTTTATTTTACTAGTTCAACGGAAGGGGGGGGGATAATGGACTTTATACACCCTGTATTGTAGATTTGGTATATTCCAATTACATAACAATTAAATGGGCACTTCCACTATGTAGATCATTCCGAGTTCAGGATCACTGCACTAATAATTGCCTACACAGTCAGGCACTTACTTTGACAAATGAGTAGATGGCAATGTTGATGGACCTCTTTCTCACTTATTGTCTATCTTCTACAGCTGGTGAGACGACGGGAGGACTGGGGGGAGTGATTTTTAATTTTTACGGGCAACAGGTCACTGACCCACATTTTGTTTAGGGAAAATTTAATAATAATAATAATAATAATAATAATAATAATAATAATAATAATAATAATAATAATAATAATATAAATAATAATAATAATAATAATAATAATAATAATAATAATAATAATAATAATAAATAAATAAATAATAATAACAATAATAATAATAATAATAAATAACAATAATAATAATAATAATAATAATAATAATACTAATAATAATAATAATAATAATAATGATAATAATAATAGATAACAAAGATAAAATAATAATAATAATAATAAATAAATAAATTTATTAAACAATAATAATAATAATAATAATAATGATAAATAAATAGTTGTGTTAAATAATAAATAAATAAATAAATAAATAACAAATAATAAATAAATAAATAAATAAATAATGTAAATAAATAAATAAAATAATAAATAAATAGAGTCAATTAAATAAAATAAATAAATAAAATAAATAAAATAATAAATAAATAACAATAAATAAATAAATAAATAATAAATAAATAAAGAAATAAATAAATAAAATAAATAAAATAAATATTAAATAAATAAATAAATAAATAAAGAAATAAATAAATAAATAAATAAATAATGTAAAATAAATAATAAATAATAAATAAATAAATAATAAATAAATAAATAATAAATAAATAAATAAAAGAAATAAATAAATAAATAATAAATAATATAAATAAAGTATAAATAAATAAA